CACAGGTTAAGWTTACTTATTGCAGTAGATGCTGTCTTGGCCACTGTCTATGTTTTCAAGCCAAAAATGTGAYCCCATTTAGGCAGGAAAATGCAGGTGATGTCTTTGTTTTCTAGTACTTCTGCAGAAATGCTTGGGAAAACAGGCTGTAACACTGAGAAACACGTGAAATCACCTGAATGCAGTAGCCTATACATTCACATACCTTAAACCACATCTTTACTTCAATCGCTGCTTAAAAATTACACATAGAGAGACTAAGAAGGCCCTTTTGCTACTTTTTCTTCACAGTCATTCTGTGAATCCACATACTCTTTCACTTAAAAGAAATAAGCTTCCCCTTTAAAGCAGACTTCTCTCATAGCTACTATTATTTATGCTTTAATGGGGCTATACACCAAACAGAAAGTATTTACATACTAGCTAGTTAAACCCAAACCTTCATTATATAAACAAACTCTCAGGAGGATGACTACAGTTTACATTGTTAAAGTCATTCACCATTCCTTTTAATACGTATTTCCTCACCCGAAACACTGCAGTGTGGACAGGGTAATTTCCACATTTTAAAGTTACTTTACTTTTAAAACGCAGCATTTGTCTTCCTTCAAAATAATCGTGACACATGTAATTAAGAAGCTGCCAGATCATTATTAATTTTTAATAAAGGACCTAAATGAAATAATTATAGGAATCMATCAGTGAGGCACCTTCCCAAATTACAAGGCAATTGCACAAATACGCCAACTACTTCAGGCCAGTTCTCCAAGACTTCGACCCACAAACCTCGCCGGATCCCAAATTAAAAGCAGGTCTGCACCGCGGAGAAACCTGGAGGTTTCTCACTGCTCCGCTCACCTAAAAGCTTTCCAAACAGATACCAACATCACACACGGAGAGCCAGGCAGCAGTGCCCTCGCAGAAGASGTTTGTTAGTTTAATTAGCCACGTATTTCAAAGCCTTTCAGTTCTGCTTCGGAGCTCTTTTCCCGAAGCACACACAAAAGAACGGAGTTTGCGTGTCGAAGCTCTAAAAAATTGATGTTTATTAAGCCCAGAAAGTGGAGCTGGAAGGAGCCGGGTGTTYGCCAGAGGATCGCTCCCTAACCCTAGGAGAGGGCACCGCGGGCGAGGCGGGCAGCTACCCGTACCTTGGCCTGAACGGCTCTCTGCGATCCGTACAGTCCATCACGCCAAACTGAAGTGGCAGCTGGAAAATGCGGAACAGCTGGCAAGGAGCTGAGAGAAAACGTTTTACATAAATGTATCTGCATATAAGCTGGCAGCAGGCCACGAGCGCGGTACCCCCAGGGCCGGATCAGGACGGGACGCCGGAGGGTTAACCAAAACCCGGGGCAGGGGCCGGGGGGGGGGGGTTGGTTCCTTTCACCAATCCAGGCGGGCGCGGGTTTGGGATGCGCGGGGCAGCGGGCGCGCGTGGAGGCGCGCGGCTTGTGTAAACACGGCGCCTTTACAGGCTCGTTAAAGCGGCCGGGGCGCCGCTCTCCGCAAGCCCCTCCAAGTGGGGCGGAATGGAGGGGGGAACGGGAAAGAAAACGCGGGCGAGGGCGCAGCCTCGTCCCGGCGCGGCCTCCGCAGCTGCCCCAGCGCGCGGAGCGCCCGAGGCCGCGGGGACGGGCACGGCGGGGACGGAGCCTTCCTCCTCCTCCTCCTCCGCCTCCTCCGCCTCACGCGGCTCCCCCACTCGCGACACGCAACTTTCCGCCGCGCCGGGCTGCCCCAACGGCCGCCCCCCCGTTCCGGGTCCCCCTCCCGCTTTCTTTAAAAAGTTCCCCCCCCTCCTTTTTATTTTTATTTATTTATTTTTTTAAATGCTGCTCTCTGCGATCGGGCGCGAAACGCTCCGTAGAAATGAGAGAGGGAGGGGAAAAAAAGAAAAAAAAAAAAAAGAGGAAATAGAAACAAGAGAGCAAAACAGAGCGGCGGTGCGGGCCGGCTGCTCACGCAACTCTTTTTTTTTTTCTTTCTTTTTCCTCCTTTTTTGACAGCCATTTTCGGGGCTTAGAGCCCTCTCCGTGCGCGGCCGCGAGTTAGAGCAGCCGGCGGGAAGGAGGAGCAGCAGCAGGAGGAGGAGGAGGAGGGAGCGGCGCGAGGAAAGTGCCGGGGCGCGGGGCAGCGGCCCGCGAACAAAGAAGTTCTCGGGCAACTCGGTACCTACCTGGGGCCGCCGCAGCGCCATGGGCCGGAGCGGGCCGGGCCGGCGGGGCCGGTACCGGCGGTGGCTGCCGCGAGGGAGCGGGGTCCGCGCTGCGTGTGTGCGAGTGAGCGCGAGTGTGTGTGCGCGGAGCCGACATCAGTTTCGGTGATCTTGTAACCCGATCCCTTCTGACTCACCCGCACTCACTGACATTTCTGATTTGGTGCGGCACGAAAAGCAGCCGGGGAAAAAAATATGAAAATAAAAAGTGGAGGAGAGAGAGGGAAAAAATGGAAGAACTGAAAAAAAAAAAGAAAAAAAGGAATAGAAGAATAAAAGGAAGACTAGAAAGGAGGGCAGCAAGCGCGCAGTTTTCGGAGGGCCGAGGCCCCGCCGCCCGTCCCGTCCCCGCCGCCCGCTTTGTTTTGGCCCCGCAAGCCACCGAAGGAGGGAAATAACAGGAGTGCGCCGCGATACTCACGTGTTGGGGAAGAAAATAATAGTGATAACAGTAATAATAAAGTTGTCCCCTCTTCGCCTCTTCCTCCCTCTCTCTCTCTCCCGCACTCCCAACTCCTGGCCTTCCTCCGCGTCCAAGTTTGTACAGATGTTGCCGGGCGCCTCTCGGCCACCGCCCCCTCTCCCGAGCGCTGCCCTCTACGAGGAGAGCAGCGGGAAAGGCTCTTTAGGGATCATTTCTGATTCAAACACCCCCCGCCAAACTTCGCCCCCCTCCTTCTCCGCGCGGGGATGGCGGAGGGGCTTCTCCCTCCCTCCCCCCGCTCCTCCTTCCCTCTCTCCCTGCCTCCCTCCCGCCTTCCCCGCGCGGGGGCAGCCCCAGGGTCCCCGCCGGGGTGGGAAGGGGGCGATGATTTATTTACTGCACGGGGGGAAGCAGCGAGGAGGAGAAGGAAGGCGGAGGGCTGCGCCCCRCCGCGTGCGGCTCCCGCCGGGGGCCTCTCCGCATGACACCCCCGCGCCTTCCTCCTCCTCCTCCTCCTCGTGCTCCCTGCCCTCCCTCCCCGCCGCCCACAGCCGGGAGGCAGCGCTGGGCGGGTGAGGGGGGGAAGACACGCGACGGGCCCTCCCTGAAACTGCCCCCCTGCTAATCCCCCCGCTCGGTTCTGGCTCTTCCTCTGCTCCTCTTCCTCCTCTTCTTCCCCATCCCACGGCCATCCCCCACCTCGCCTCCTCCGGAGCCCCCCCCTGTTCTCGCCCCGAGGGGCTGCATCCTCCCCCCACCCAAAATTAAGCTTTTTTTGGGGGGGAGGGGGGGGGTTGGAAACATCATCATCTGGGAGGTTTTTATACCCTGAGCTGCAAGGATGCACACGGGCTCCTCAGAACAAGCCACTTCCAGGAAAGTTTCACCTAACCCTGTGAGTGGAGGAGAAAAAAGCCCAGCGCTTTTGGGAAAAGGGGTGCCCTCCTGTCAAGGCAAGAGCAGGAGCAGGGCCTGGCCTCGGTGTCCCCTTGTATCCCTGTAAGGACAGGGCTGGCTCTTGGCAAAAGCGCCTGCCTTGCCATTGTTGCTGTCGAGCTGCTGAACGGCCCACGTGCCCGTCGGTTCGTAAGGTGGCCCGCAGCAGAGACAAGGGCAGGGGGGGTAGCACCAACCCAGTGCGGTACRCGAGGGTACCCCGGAGGGGGAGCAGCCCCACAGAAGTCAAAGGAACTTGAAGACAGGCACGTTCRGTAACGCAAACAGGAGACTAGCCTTTGATGCTGTGCCTTTCAGAGAGCTTCCCTAAATTCAACTCTTGAAAATGGTCATTTTATACAAAACAAAGCTGAAGATGTTTTGTGGTGTATGTTTTTACTTTTTTCCTAAGGCCCCCAGCACTTAAATGAAAAGCCTGCTACATAATCCACCCTTTCTCTCTTCTTTTTTTATCATTGCTCTCAGGTCTAATAAAACCTTCCTAGTGCAGAAGGAAGTTTTTAAGTATGAAGTAATTGCTAAGTTTAAAAAAAAGCAGAAGACTAACCCTTAAGAATTTCAACTCTAAATGTCCTGTTTTAGGGCACACATCATTTACTGGGTCTGGGTTTATCTATTTATTTGTTTGTTTTTAGAAGCACACAGGTGGCAATCTTACCTGATGCTAAGGCCACTACATATCCATATTTCCTCAGTCTCACTGTTCTTCTTCACCTGGAAATCTTCTCCAGGCACAAAACGAYAACTTTAGAGAGACACCAGCCATTTCTGGATGTCCTATGCATGGCCGTATCCATTGAACTCTGGATGCCAGGCCTGCTGATCCATGTGCACGCAAGGAGTTTGCGGCACAACCTCCACACGCCCGCTGGATCTCTGACTTTCAGGACACACACAGTAGTTAGAGGCTTTCATGGCAAACGAGGCTGTCACGTTCTGCAGCGCCAAGGCCAGCAGATCCCGAGCAACTCCCACTCCCACGTGCACAAGGGAATTCAATGCAAGTCCCCCAACCCCGCAGAAAGGTCCGTGACCTGTGGACCTGGCACAGGGACCCCGTGGCCAACCACTTCCCAGGCGAATCACATCCCTGCTCGGAGCGAGCAGCCCTCGGCTGCCCAGCCGAGATCACTGACAGGCATCGAGATCACTGACAGGCATCGGGCGCGCGGGGAGGAGGCAGCGCGCGATTCCAGGTGAATGCAGATCTCAGGAGCTGATAGTCCCCCACCTTTCTCTTCAGTCATTCACAACTTCCTTTGGAGCCCTGGGAAAGCGGCAGCTGTCTCTTGATGATCAGATAATGGTTACACGGTACAGCGGCTGTTTTGTTTTAGGTATATAAATAAATATATATGGGGGAGGCTCCGAAAATTTAGCTTAACTTCTAGCCAGTGTGAYTGATGATTGATCAACGATCATTGGTCAATGATTGATTTAAGAGCCATAGATCCTTCAGGTGTTACAGCCCCTTGTTCTGTTTCTCTCTAAAAAATAATTATTAAGTTTTAATATTTCATTACTATTTGCATAATGAAAGAACTTAAGTGTAATGAGGGGAATTAACCAAGATAGAAAACGCTACTTGAAAAAATAAATTACTGTGGATGAACCCTGCTTATCCAAGTTTTACAGTTTCGGTAAGCTTAAATTTAACAAAAGATGGAAAATATGTTCTATACTGGGACATTATTTTAAGTTGAGAGTGCCCTTTATTCCTCCTGGCCTTTTGAACAAAGAAACTCCTATTTTCTGAAAATTTAGATATTATGCCATAAAACTATATTTTATGTTTTATTATGATTCACATCAGTTCTCTTCAAGGCCCATATTTCTGATAAAAAATAAATACACAATAAAAATCTCTCAATATACTCAAGTACCAGCAAAGTTAAGACAGGGAAAAAAAAAAAAAAAAAACTAAAAAGCTGAAAGGCAGCTAGAATGCCTTGAGTTGTGCTTATGAAAAACTTAAAAAAAAAAAAAAAAAAAAAGAAAAAGAAAGAAAGAAAAAAGGCCTTGTGACACATTTGTGAGCGGTGAAGGTTTTGAGAGAAGAGAAGCACAGAAAAAACACCCAAGGTTTCTGCCTGTGCCTGCCCAAATGGTCAGGCCAAGCAGCAGATGAAAAATGAAGGAGAGGGGGTGACATCTGCCATTTGAAATGTATTGTAAATGTTTCAACACCCTGACAATGAAACGCGTAAGAAGCTTGGAGCATCCAAGACCCTTCAGCTAAACAAAATGAAAATGGGCAGAGCTGTTTAAGGAGGTGTCTTTCTTAAAAGATTTTATGTTTGCTTCAGAGAAATCGTACTGTAAAGAAGCAATGGCAAGTCAAAAGCTGCATATTAATGAAATCTAATGATCTTTCAACACATCTGGATTATCCCGTCAAGAGAAACCAAACCCTGAGACTTGCCTATRATGTTTCCTGGCAAATAGGAATTGCATCCTATAGGTCTGAAATGGACTCAATGATCTCAAAGGTTTTTTCCAGCCGTAATGATTCTATGATACTAAGCTCTGTGGGTCAGTGCTAAAACCACCTCTTTGACATAACAGAGCTTGACCACAGCATGTTTTTCACCAACACTCATATTACTTAAAATACTCAAGTATTTCATTAGCCTACCTTATGTCCCCACTTCTGTGTCCACGTCGTGAAGATTACAAGCTCATACTCCTTGTTTTGTTGTGCTTTACCCGTTGCTCTCGGAAAGCACAACCTTCARGAGCTGGTGCACTGCTGGCATAGGCTGCAATGCAGAAGACCTGGTATAAGTCATACCAAGAGTCACCCTTCTCACCACTCCCATTTTCACCACCCTCCACTTTCCTTCCTTCCAATCCCAGCAAATCCAAGGGCCAACCCCTTGGAGACTGCTGTCTCCAGCACTCCTGACACCTACCAGCTTTGGAGTTTGCCACCCACTCACACACACTCTTTGAAGCACCTGCCACTGTCTCCCCATGGATAGCCACAGATCTGCCCAGCTAGTGCTCATCTTCCAGCTAAGTGCCAACCCCTAAAATCACCCCAAAACAGCTGAAGCTATCAAGATGCTAATGTATTTCCCAAAAGCCAAACACCTTATGGGAACAAACTCCATGACATGGGTGGACCTGTGTAGAACGGTGATTCCCTACAGTCTTACTTGGACAACCTCAGGGAGCACAGGCAGAGCAGTAGAATATAGAAAAATAGCTCTGCTTTCTGGTTGCTTTGTCACCATCCATGAAGCAACATCCATCACCACGAGAGCACTCGGCCAGTCTATCTCACCCCCATCCATGCAACTCCCTTGTTGCGTGGTTGTCAAGTGCAGCAGAGATGTCTCAAGATGCAGTCGGGGGAAGAAATTAAGTGGTACCACATGGAAGCCCTCAKGGTCTGCAGAAGGAGCAGGGCCTACACGTGGCTTAAACAGGGATGTAGAACTGATGTGTATCAGTCACCACTCTAGGGAAAGATAAAACTATCCCAAATTTTGCCCTGTAAGGGCAAAAACATAACTGCAGAATTGACATAGTGAAGGCAAAGAGGTGCCTGGACAAAGAAACAACTGATTAGTAGAAAAAAMTGATTAGTTTTGAAGGAAACAATAACCTTGCATCACTTCAGACAGCATAACTCCATCTAATTTAGGTCTTCGGTGAGAACCAAGTCACCTTTACTTTTCTGTGAGAAAGGCAGTCAGTAGCTGTTACAATCCTGGAGGAAGACTGGGAAAATGACTACAGATTTTAAAAAGTGCCAATATAATGATTTTTCCTGTAGTCTGCTTGTAACTATTTGCCCTTCTAGATTAGCAATTATGTACTGTAACACTGTCATAATATGTTTCTCATAACAGTATAAAAATACTGTATTCTCAGGTGTTTTCACTATCAGGCCCTGATATCTTGCAATTAATTGAGAATTGCAACTTGCTCTCAAGCAAACAGAAATACTCAGTGTCCAGAATAAAAGTTCATCAGGAACTTTATGAAAATTCAAAATTTCATATAGAAGTAACACCCGTTTTATCATTTAAAAAACAAAAATCTCAGGATACCCAAGCTATTTTTCTTCACCCAGCTATTTTTCATTCAACTCATGTTTTTGGTCCCATGCACTTGCAGTGCTATAAAAAAAGCAGCCTTATTGTGGAACTCTATTAAAATTACCTAAATGTTACAGGGGTGAATTATTAGCCAGGGAACTCTGTCGTTTACTTACTTATTTTTAACTCTTTGCATTTCTCTCATAAGTATAGATTAATGTCAATAATTTTGCTATGAATTTCCATTTCAGAATTTCTTTTGCTGAAACATTTCACTTTGCAGTATCCCACAGATTTTGAGTTTCACTTCATCTTCGTTTCTGTATTTGGATTTTTCGATCAATATAATTCCATTGAAAACCTAGAAAAGTTTCAGCACATATTCAGAAATAACTTTCATTCAAGAGTCTGAATTTTCAAAGGATGCTCACCCTAGCCCTTCAGAGACACTGAAATACATCACTCTTTTTGGTGGTCCTTTGTAAGGACTACTACTTTTCTACTTTTTCCTAATAATATGCAGGATCTTCCYAGACTTCAGTGGAAAAAAAGACGACTGTTCACTAAGGAGTGAACAGGATTATCTTTCTCCTCTAGCACATCATCTCTTATCCCCCATCCTCCTTCTCTGCCTAATCTAACTAATCTAGCTAGCTATTTATACCATATTCATCATTTGATTATCTGAATGCTGCAATATTTTTCTCCCCTTCCACCTTAACATATAGGAGGATATTGTTTGTGTGTGTGTGTTTTAACTTTGCTGTAATTGTGGAAGGAAGGCTAAGGCCAAGAGCTGGTTTTTACCCCAGAACAAAGAGAGCATTCGTTTCTGCAGGGGTGGCTGTATGGTCATGGATGCCTCTGTAGACTGTAGAGAGAGCCTGATCTTTCCAGCTCATACACATAAATTTTTGTTCAAGATATTTTTACCCTCTCTGATTTCAAATATCTAGTTGTACTAAAACACCTCTGTTAAGATCATCATTTTTGTAAGAAGAATGTTTTTTTCCTATGAGGAATTTTAATGACTTTTTTTGTGATATTTTGGTATATGACCATCAACATATCAAACAGTCAGCAGAGCGAGTTTCCTTTGTGTGCTATTTAAAAGCACACCATTCATGCTGATTATCACTATAATTCAGATTTGGCAAAGAACATAGGGGAAAAATAACATGGTGCATCTAACAAGCTTCATCCAGTAAACACACCAATTTTTTTTTGCAATGCTGTAATAGCTGATTAATTACTATCAGTGATGATATTTAAAGTTACTATAATTAGACCAATCATCATCACCTTTAAATGATCTGGGATAGTTTCAAACTCTCTCAAGAAAGTTATCTGGGCATCGTTTTGCACTGAGCCATCGGACTACATTTCTAAAGGTTTGGCAAGATTTTGCAGGGTGTAGTCACCAGCCTTTGCACAGAAGCTTGAGCTTATGTAGATTCTTCTGCTGGTAGAATCTAAACTAGTTCCTTGAATGAAATAATAAGCGGGGGAAAAAAAAAATAATATGTATGATGTTTCTCACCGACACAACTGTACATTAGAGTAGGATTGGATGACCTAGGAAAACTGTTCCCTCTTTCTCAAAGATATTAAAGATCCATTAAAATGTCTCTTTTTTTTTTTTTTTTTTTAAGTTGTTGGTGCAAGTGAATGGGAAACAGTTATTCTGCGGTGACATATGGTATAAAGATATTCTCCTAGGAAATGATTAGGTTTCTTCCTCAAGCGTTAAGCTATTGGCTCTTACTTTAAAAATTACAGCATTTTCATATACCATACAAAGCTTACAGTCTTCAGACCTTCTTCAGTCTCTTAAGCAATTATTTTAAGTTAATGGATATTCATTATATCATAGTTAGGTGCACAGGATTTGTTGCTTGTTTTTAATGACAACAGCAGAAATAGGTAAAGAACTAAGAACTTTACCTTGGTACTACATATCTATAATGAGGACATTTGGTGAGCATTTTCAAATCACTTTTTCCATGAAGTAGTAGGAAGTATACCAGTATACTACAGCATTCTATATACATAGTATACTAGTATGTAGCATATCACTATATACATATCCCTAGCTAAAATTTTCCCAGGTAGATTGTGACAATAGTGATTGTAAATTAGATAACATTCTGTACACAATAAGAAGTCCGTGAGAAATGCTAGTTTATCGTCTCTGGCCACCTGGGTGCAAACTCAAATCTCATCAGGAATCTAAACAATTTAGTGGCCTTAATCTGTGTTTTGTGGACATTTGTCCTAACAGAAAGATATAGCTCAGCATATTTGTTGGTACCTAGACAGGAGACATCTGGGATTAGTGATTCTAAAGCATGCATTTCTCACCCACCAAAACCTAATGTGATCCATCTATCTATGCAATCTTTTAGTCACATCTATCTGTCTATAACAGTAGCCAGTTTAGTTCTGCCCACCTACCAACTGTATCATATGCATGAATTGCACCAGATGATATTACAGGAGAGACTATATTGTGATGTTACTACCACCCTTAACAATGGCAAGACGCCCCAAATCAGGCTACAGTTCAAAAACATAGTAAATGCAGCTTTAGACCTCCTAGGACCTAAAACCCTGCTAGGTCAAAAATGTCACAATCTAAAGCCAAAATAAAGGTATTCAGTTGGTAGAAAAGTGGTGCATCAGAGCATACTAAAAAACTTGAAAAGTCCGGATTTATACTGGATGAGATGCTTTATGTCCTGCTGCAGCCAAACTAGCACAAACTCTGTATCCTATGTTCTGGTTCATTCAGCAGAAACATGGTTATGTACTCATGGTAGATTGAGTTAGCACTGCTGTATGATCCTGCAGCATGTACAGCTCTCATCAATGACACCAGGACTGCAGACACACGTATACAGACATATGCTGACAGATCTACATGCATGCCTACAAAAATGCTTCTTATACCATCTCATTTTCCCTATAATTATTTTTCCTTATCTCATTTACATCAGAAAATTTGGAGCCACTCAATGCAAAACCTTTCTAAGAGTCAGGGAGGAGCTGATGAGAGAGACTCACAATGTATCACGAGGGAACAACCTGACTTGCACCTCTCCTTTCCCCAGCTTGGAGGTAGGGGAAACGCTTCACTGGGAACTGGGAAGAATTCTGCAACTTGTGTTCATGCAACATTGTTCAAAGGGAAGCAAAGGCCTGATACTTCAGAAAGAAAAATATCCCTCCCTATATGCACTGATGCACTATGTTCCTTTTACAAGAGTTTACAGCTTCCTTTTACAAGAGCTTACTGCTGCACCCTTGCCTACGCACCTTTAACAAAACCAGCCTACCAAACACTGGATTCCAGGATCRCAACAGATCCTGAAATATCACATTCTCTTTCGAAAACATCCTCATGTTTATTTTTTTGATACCACTTCTTAAATTTATCAGTCACAAAAATTAGAAAAATAAAATACAGAAAAGTTGAGCTCCCTCTGTCAGAGCCTAACACCTTGGATTTAAAGACCAAGCAGACAGTCCTCAAATTACACCTCGTTAGTTATCCACAGTCAGATTACGAAGCCTTGTTTCTTCCCTGGTCCTAGGGAGGGCCAAAGCACACAAGCAAGAAAAGCTGCAGCGACTAGAGGGAGAGCAGAATGGAATCTTCCCACCTTTCTCCAACCCTGTTCGCAGCAGCCCTTGGTGGAAGTTTGGAGAGGAGCCTCATGGAACAAAACAAGGTGCCTCCAGCACTGGTGTGGCTGCAATCCCCACTGCCATTGGCTTGAAGTCAAACATAGTGCCAGGTGTACTTAATAGGAGCTAAATTTCCTAGCACTTTGCAGTGTCCTTCAGCAAGCTGGAACATGCCTGCAAAGGTAAAATGACAGCAGACACCACATTTTGACTTAGCAAAGATGTTTACTATCAAACAAGGCTCTTGTCTGCTAAGTCAGGATGAAGACTTGGACTCCAACCTAAAGCATTGAATTGGTGGATTTTTTTGCAATGGACTTTAATGAACATTTAAGGTACATTACTAATTTTGGTTCATTTGCTAGAACTGCCCACACACTTAAAGCAAATTACAATTGTATGTTTGCACGATTTGGTCCTAGGAAGTCTATTTGGAAAACAGGGAACAGAAGACCATTTTCTTCATAAAATTATAATACTTTGTCAACATGTCTCCAAGATGTGAACAGTTTGGCAAGAAGATCTGAAAAATACTTAGCAAACTGCATTAGAAGTTTTTTCTCCTGCACTGCTCAAGCAAACAAAAAAGTCTGTGAAATCTTACCTGAATAAACATTGCAGGCTGGTACTAACTTGTTATTGGTACTGACACAGTGCAGCAATTGGCCAACCAAGAAAACACCAGGCAAGGAAAACAATGTAAGAGGCTGCATAATATACAGCTCTGCCTTTAGGGCCCGTAAGACAAAACCAAACACCAGTTTTGAAAGGAATCACAAGGATTACAGAGACTTTAGACAGGAGATATCACTTCAAAATGTGTACATTTATCCAGCACAGTAAGACTAATACCCCATCAAAGGCACTAGAATATTTTCCAATGGAGACAGACCACAGTTTATGATCATCATCAGTTCAAGGGGGATAAGTAACCAGCACAAATAGCTACGGATAAAAAGCCAAATACCTCAAAGTGAAAGAAATAAGCTGTTAAAAATAAGACAAACAAGTTATAAAAAGAAAACCCCCAAGCCAAAAAGAATGGTTCCAGGTATTCATTTTACATGTGTTCTGTCTGAAGGAAACAAAGTAGTTTTGCACAATCTCAAAGAACACCAGATACCATAAACTTGCATCTATACTATGTTCATTGAAAGCTGACCACTTTTTCCTTTGTAAAAGCACAGCCACACTGCAGATTAATGATTCCTTTCTCTTTCTTTAAATATTATTTTACCCTCTTTAGTTTATTCTGCTCTTATTTTTCTATTTCAATTATTATTAAGGGAGTTTGTTGAACTATTAAGCTAGATTTTGAAATCTGAATCTTTCTGCTTTTCAAACTACTAGTTACGATGAGCGTAAATGGAATCTAAACCACTATAGTGTTTATATAGCAATCTATGTAATTCTGTAAATGATGCAAACGATATCAAACACCGCAAACATTCTGCACTTGATATCAAACACTACATAATCACAATAAAGACAGTATTAGAGTGTTCAAAACTAGTTAGTTTGCCTCTCATGTCATGAGATGAGCTTATGAACAGGAGATTAAAAGGAAACAAATGCAACCCCATCTTTCCATTTCCCTTCTTTTTTTTTCAGTTTGCTAGGATTCTCTAGGAATGAGTACGCTATAGAAACTGAAACAGCCCTAGGCCTGCAAGGTTTGCTCTGCACCTCTAATGGCAGAGATGTGTTTTAGAGTAGAGTGATAGCTGGGTGATGTGGGCATCCAAAGCTTTAAGAGAGGAAAACACTTTTCTCTTCCCTGCAYCCCCAACAATTTCCTGACAATACAGTGTGATATCTAAGCTAAAAGTTGTAAATCTGAGGACAGTGCAAAAGTGAATGTCAGAAAATGAGGAAAGATGCTTTTCATCAGCCTAAATATATAGAATACAAGAAACTGAGATGACAGAGAGCTCATCCTTCACAGTTCACGATGGTATGATACCCACACCATGGCCTAGGCTTAGAAAGAATTGGCTAATGGGTAGAAAACAGGAGGGAAAAAAAAAAGACAGGAAAAGATAGAAACAATACCAGTGAATGAAATCTTTATGAAGAGTTTGCAGCCATAATACTATCATCTGTACATATAAATATATATATGGCCATGTGGCCAGTGCACTCTTCAGAGGAGCTTTGTTGTCATTCATATTATGAGCAGAATTAATCTCAGCTCCATTTTAACAGTCTGAAAACTTGTCGTGGAGTTTGCACTTCTCATCTGGACACCCTTGCCAGTCTTTGCACTCTGATTCAGCCCTCTGAAAATAGATGACTAAGGACAGCTGAATCGGTCCCTGGAGCTCCAGAAGCTGATTCATCCCACGGACTGCAAGGAAGTTGCAGGAGGAGGCTGGAGCAGATACCCAGCTGCCGGAGCCCTGCCTGGTGACAGGATTCCCACCACTGCTTTCTCCCATCTCCGCGCCCTTGTTGGCAGCCTCTGATGGTGTCTCTGATTTCTGCATTTGCCCTCTTCACCTCTGCCAGATTAAAGTGCTTTATACAATACTTCTGCTATAATTAAAAAAAAAAAAAACAAAAAACAAAAAAAAACCAGAATTTTTCAAAAAAGAAAATTCTTAATGTCTCTGTCTTAATGACACAGACTACTGAAAATGCATCAAACTTATCCCTGTCCTCTATACTGGCTTCCAAAAGAATGATACTCCTCTACTTAGTATAAATAGAAAAACTGCCTAATGCTTAGAAGTGAGTGATAATAATAAATAATTCCTCAGACAAACTGGAGCTTACTTCTGCATGAACCTTGTTTGTATAAGAACCTGAGGTAAAGCAAGACTAAGAGATAATCTTTATTGTCTTCTGTTCCAAGCACAAGCCTACGAGCGTCTACCTGTGTCTCCAACACAGGGAAGAAAAGCACAAATAATTAAAAACAAACAGAAARCCTTCAGACATCAGGGCAGACATCCAAAATTAATGTTCAAGCAAGACAACAAACATAGTGTACTCCATGGAGCCTGGAGCAGGTAGAATTTATGAGCAATATGGAGGAGGAATCATTCTGAGGTGAAGCACAGGAGAGCTCAATTTATACATAGGCCTGCAAAATCCCGTTTAGCAGGCCGAAACATGATTAATTCATTCTGCTGTTTTGGGTTGTATAAAAAGGTGCACCGAGTCCTAATACCCATGCATTCTAATATAACTCAYTATATCAACCTATTAAAACTCTAATTTCCAGAAGTCAGCCTGCTCAAGGAAGTTATAGAAAGCTTGCAATCTAGGTTTGGTATATTAGATTAGAATGTGTCACTCCTATCTGTTCACAAAGAACAGAAACAATAGCCAGAGAACATACACTTTACTAAAAATTCCTTGGATCATACATAAATTCCTTCAGTATTGATAACCTCTATCTTCCACATAAAAAGCAGTGGATCTTTACAGTCTCTACAAGGCAGTTTCCATGGAATGGGGAGATATGTTGGCTTCAGAATCTTGGACGTACTACACATTTGTACAAAATGTTCCAGTGAGGTTTTTTTAATAAGTCCCAATATCAAAGAGTGATCGATGGGTGTGCTCTGCTCCTTCTGCCTGGGCTAAAGGTGGCAGGCCATGCTGCAGTCCTTAAACAATTGCCTCTGATTTTTTTACTTACCGAGTCTGGAAGACATCAGTGAGAAAGCTGCCTCCATCAAGAAAGGTTGAATAAAGACTTCAAAAATTGGTCCTGGGTTTGGTCTGCTATCTTCTGAAAATCAGTTCAGATCTGTGGTAACAAAATGAGAATAGTGCTTCTCCAGACCCTCAGTTTTGAACAGCACAGGTCAAAATAAAGAGGTAAATCAGCAACTCTTCTTACATAGCAGCATCTATCACAAACAGCAAAAAATTAAATCAAGAGAAGAACTATTCTCTAGAAGAACAAGGACTCTTCACCTCTTTCCCAAGAGTGTAAATAGATGAACTTTGCAACAAGACTTGTGTGCAACCAACCTGAGCCCCCAGGGGACTGGAATGAATACAAGGCGCCCTTACCAAAGGGCCTTGCTACCAAGGGCTCTGCCAGCAGCTCCCTCTCTTACACCAAGGGAGTGTCAGCAGGAATGCTCATGCTGATGCTGAACAGCTGCTTGGCAGAGGATGAGAGTCATCCTCGCAGGTAGACCAGCCTCAGGACGTTGTGGGTTTTGTAGATCAAAGCCAATGCCAGCACGATGTACTCACAGCAAGGCAGCCCAAGAGCAAGCAGGTCTCTGCATTTTGAGGCAGCTTCCAAACACAYCTGAGATGAGGCCTTGGTGGGGATGGGTGAGGCAGTGGCGAGTCTGGAGGTGCTAAGGGTATAAAGCAGGAGAATGAGGTCTGCTTTAGAGAAAAGGCAACCAGAGAGAAATATAAGGAAAAGTGACCTTCTCAATGAGTCATGAATTCCACTTACCCATCAAATAATGGAATGGAAAAGTTGGAAAATGGAAAGCTAACTAAGGCTGTGAAAATGAGTAATACATGGCAGGTCCACACCCTTCCAAAGGGGCAGATATTATCCTTCCTGTAACTTCTGCCTGTTTTCCCCAAGTCATTAACAGCAGCGCTCCCTTATCTTGATGGCACCGCAGCCAGATGGCTCTCCTCCATGCCCCAACCTCACACGCCAGAGGCGGCGAGCAAGCCTTCCAACCAAGTCAGACGAGACGAAAACAGAACTACGTTTCATCTGCAAAACCAAAGCCACACGGCAGCCCGCGCATCCTCGCCACCTGCCTCATCTACACACAGAACAACCTGTTCCTTAGGGCGCGCCTGGCAGCTCCAGAAACAAACAAGGACCCTCCGGCATTTAGGGCTGGGAAAGGAAAGGGACCTCAAAGTCTTGCCCACAGAGGAGCTTGTTGAAGAGCCCATGCATTGACTGCTCTGTCTGCTAAGTGCAGGTTCCTTTGCACCTATTCCCCATTTGCTTGTGAAGCTGCTTCTACTAAGATGTTGATCCACATCAGGGATCAGGAAATCTCTCCTTTCTACAGGACATAATCCCCCTTTTTATTGCAAAAAAAAAGGCCTGAACATGTTCTGACTTGTACAGCATACATACAGCGATTTTCATCATCTTTGCTGAAATATTTTAAACACTTTTATTTTTTTCCTTYTTCTTTTATTTTCCCTTGATAAAGGATGCAGAACTATGAGACCCATATACCAGAATCTCATTCTTCATTACTTCTGGAGTGTAMAATGGAGACCAGAGTACCACTCTGATAGATACAGTAGTAACAAAGCTAAAACATAACTATATCATTTAGTCTTTTTTAACATCAATTTTATCTAGCCCTACCTTTTAGAAAGCTGAAGATTTCACAAATTGTTTTTCTTAACCAAAGAAGAAAAAAAAAAAAGCTCTTTGCCAAAGCAGCCCTCATGGCAACCAACAGCCTGCCAAGAAAAATAAAATAAATATGTATTTCTCTGAAACAACAGTATCCTTCCCCACAATGCTGACCTCTGAGAGAAGGATTGCTTTGAAAGTATCATCTCCCTCACACTATTTTGAGATGGGGGTAGGGATAAGCTTTTCAAACTGTGTCAAGCTGGACATGGTCCACCTTTCATCATATTTCAAATAGATTGCTTTTGAAATGCAGGTAGAGGAAACCACCTGACTGGCACCCACCTTCTCACACCATTTGTTAAGGTTTCTCTTATCATATAGAAATGTCACAACTGTTACTGAAGGTTCAAAGGCACAAAGCTATAGAGACCCARATTTGCACACACGGAGTTATACAGTATTTCTAGTCCAAGAACTCGCTCTAATACTAAGATGACTCTGGATGTATTTGCAGGTGGGCTAAGGCCCAGATTTAGAGGGAGAAAAAAAAAGTTTTAAAGTGCCAAAATTTTCCAAGCTAGGGATAGGATTTGGATAAACACATCCTGCTTATTTTACTGGAAAAGGTGAATGTCTAAATACCCAGCTGTCTTTGAGAATTTCAGCCTTAATCTCTATGTGAATAGGTTTCTCTCTTTCTTTCCTCATCCAAATGAGGAAAAAAAAAAAAAAAAAGGAAAACAAATAGAAGCCAATCCTACACTCTCCTTTGCAGTACTCACAGCTACTTCTACTTGGCAAAATTGTATTAATGCTTCCAAACTAGGAGAACTTCAGTATAAAAAGGCTGCTCTGATTTCACTTTCCAAGAAGAGTGACCTAAGAAGAGAACAATAGATTTTCATTCTCGTAAATGCTCGGGTTAAGAAAGAATTCTTTAGAAAAATACATCTCTGAGATGTTTCCACCTCACTCACACTACCGCACATTTGGAGCAATTACATTAAACTCATTGAAATTAGTTTGGTATAAAAATCTCATCTTAGTGAGAGAGACTTGAACTAAAATAAATATATATTTTTAAGCAGTCGCTGTCAAGTTAATGTTTTTGTGTAAGTAATCTCAGAGGGACACATTTGCAACTCATTTCAATGTCATTGTGTCTGCTTACATTAGCAGTACTTTTGGCTCAGAATCTTTTCAAGTTGTGTATTCACCAGATTGTAGATCAATAAACAACACAGATAAACAAAAGTCTTCTTTAAAAGCATGCAAGTTCTACAATGGAATACGACTGTCAGATGTTCTTTAAAATCTAAACACCTCATTATTCAGATATCTAATTCCCCTCCTAGACTGCACAAGGATAAACAAAAATAAACACTTAAAATGGGATTAACATTCCTCAATTTATCAAACAATATTAATTGTTCAAAGCAAGAAAATTCTATTTGCATTCTCATTACCTTTACATTGCACATCAAATGATTCTCAGGATCTCATGCCAAAATTGAGAATCTTCAAATCCCACAGAAGACATGGAACATCTTGGAAGAGTCATCATCAGTTGACCACTTATTTAGTATTGCTAGTTATGTGCAGATTCAGCCAATGTTTGTGCAGTTAATCTGTCCCAGGGCTGGGTGTACAAAAAACAGGCAAAATGCACCAACATCAATTGGCTGAGTCACTCTTTTTACATCTGTAGAAGACACTTAAAAATATTTTTGATTATTTATGAGGATTTTAATTACTATAATGCATTTCTGCTCAAACTATTCACATAGGATGATCAATAAGAATCTGCTCAGTGTTTACAGAAAACCCACTTTCATTAAGCAACTGATTCTGCCAGTCCCACAAGTGCTCACCATGAGCAAGTTCCCTAGACCTGTCCAYACCACCCAGCCCTTTCCTTCCTCCCCCAATATGTAGCACCATTAATATACCTGGAGCCATTTAATTCCCACAACCTGGCTGCTTACTGCCCTTCAGCAGGCTTTGCACCCTCACTTACTACAGGAAAAACTCTGAAATCCTTTTGGGAGTATCAGAGCAAGAAAAAAACAGCAGTTTCAGGAGCTTCCGAGGCAGAAATGGAAAAGATTTTGGTGACAGGAGGTATTCTATTTCTTAGAGAGTGATGGAAAAAGTTCTTACACTTGGTGGAAGTAAAAGAAAGGGCATAGGAGTGGGAGGGAAACTCAGGTAGCAATGAGTCAGGAAAAAGGAGGTTAGCAATTCATTAATATAGGACTGCCCCACTGCCCCACTCTTCTCAACTTGTTACAGCTGTAGGATGATGTTGGGGTGGAGAGGCAGACTAATCCATGAAGAACTAGAAGACTTTGATATTAAARTAAAATACACACACACACACAAAAGCAAAGGGAGGGGAAACATAAAAACATATATTCTTTTACTGGGATATCTTTTCTTTTTTTCTTTTTTTCTTTTTT